GGTGAAGCAATATACTAGGCAGGATAAGATCTTGTAAGGAATGAGATTCTCTCCCAAGCCAGTTCATACACATAATCTGGAATAACAGTTGTTGAAGTTTTAATTATTATTGAATTATTTGGTTCTTTCTATTTTTCTCTCTCTGCTTCTGTATAGTATATATTATTTAATATTAAGCAACTTCATAAAGCACTTCTACAAGTATAGAAATGCTACTATGAGTCAAGACATCTTAGAATTGAAAACCTCCTTAAAGTGAAACTTTTCTTTCAGCTGTCAGTATTCACCACCTTGATGGATGTCACCAAACATCAATTTGAAACTTACCTGCGGGACTGCCCAGATCCTTGTATAGGCTGGTAAGGGGCCCACTGGCCTGGAGGAGGCACCGTCCGCGAGGTGGGTGCTCCCACGTGGCGACCAGCGCAGCATCGGACCTCCTTCCAAGCCCAGGACTCCGGGCAGATTCTCCTGAGGCACAGCTTGTCCTCTTGAGGGTGTTTATAATTCATAGGCTCCTTTTTGCCACAACAGTTGATTGTTTTTATTTGCCACTAACTGCTTTAAAGCAAGTGCAGCAGTCGTGAAATTTGCTGGGGTTCATTTCACATGGACGTGTGGGTTAGGGATGGGCAGTTCATCCCTGTGGGAAAACGCAGATTCTCTGTGGGCACTGAACCCCATCCTCTGCAGGATTAATACATTGTCCGCATTATCCAGTATTTCACTTGTATCCACAATTTGTGTTTTCTGTAGTTTTCCTCCTGTTTCTAACTATTAAAATTAATGTCTTTGCTGTTTGTTGGCAGCAATGTAATTTCACTAATCTTGACTGGAGGGGAAGAAGGCAGATTCATTTCTCTTAATGGGCAGTCCATGGGTCTTGGACTCTGAATCGGAGTATTTTGTGGGCTTATGAAGTATGCGAGGCAGAGTCTCTTATACACACAAATTCTAATGTTCCCTTTCTCAGAATCAGTTTCTCCCTGAACACCAGGAAGTTAAATTCAAAAACTGAGTCTCGGGTCTGTGAATTAACTGTATATAAATCAGGCGATAAACTTGTGTGGAAAATGAGAGGTGAACCCATTATTTTAACTCTCATAAGTATGATTCAATTGTCTTTCTGATCAAATATATAGTTTTAAAATTTAGATCTCTGGAAAACATTTGTATTTAACTATTTATGCAAAGTGTTAATAGAACTCAACCTTTCAGACTTTCACAATTAACTGTGAAAACGCATTCCAGTTGGTCAAGACTGTCTCCGCTTCATGTCACGTCGGTTGTACCCTGGACACAATAAACAATCAGCGGCAGTGCTGGCAGTTGTCATGTACACCTGTGTGTGAGTCTGGGGTCGGGGAGGGAGGGTGTTAGAGAGAAACCCAGGCTGAACCTGATACGTGATTTAAATTACAAGGGTTATGCAAGTGAGTTACTCAGCTTATTGGTCTTACGTGACTGACCCGTATCACTTCAAAACCCAGTGGACCAACCTGGCATGCAGGTGTCCTGAGGGGAGGTGCTTCCACGGAAACAGTGACGCTGGTATTACTGTAGCAAAGGGGGAATTACAAGAGGGTTTGTTTTGAAGTAGGAGTCAATTAAAAAGAACTTTACTTCAGATTTTGTCCCTTTCACAAAAATGAAGTGAAGTGAGGTCAACTTGTATTTTTTTCCTAAAGTAGTCGCCTTTGATAAAGCACAATAATAAAGAGGTGAGATGCTGATTTGTTTCAGACTGATTCCTCAGGACTAAGTCAAAGAATTTGGAGGAAGTAATACCTAGTACTAAAATTTTAGATTATAAGCTGCCTTTTTACCACTAAACAATAGACAGGATACCAAATCTAAGCCCGTTTATGGAACACTTTATATGTGCACTTATGCATAACCAGACATGTCCGTACAGATATGACCAGGAGTGTGCTCACCCAAATACCGCCAGTGGTTCCCCATGGACAGTGGTGCTAATTGCTATTTTAATTTGGGGAGAACATGAGACTACAAGAATTCCTCATTTTATTGTACTTTTTGCTTTACTGAACTTCACAGATTTTTTTTTTTTTTTTTTTTTNNNAGGTCTGTGGCAACCCTGTATTGACTGAGGCAGCACCATTTTCCCAGTAGCACTGGCTCACTGCAGGTGTCTGTCACATTTTGGTAATTCTCACAGTATTTTAAACAGTATGACATTTGTTACGGTGATCTGTGATCAGTGACTTTGCTGTTACTGTTGTAATTGTTTTGTGGTGTTGTGAACTGTGATCACACAAGACAGTGAACGTTAACCGATAAATGTGTGTATTCTGACTGTACCAATCAGCTTTCCCATCCTCCCTCTTTTCAGGCCTTCCGATTCCGAGACACAGTATTGCAATTAGGCCAAACAGTAACTGTCCAGTGGCCTTTAAGTGTTTGAGTGATAGGAGAGTCACACTGCCCACTTTGAGTCAAAACTTAGAAATGAAAGCAGCTGAGTGATGAGGTATGTTGAAAGCCAGGACAGGCCAAAAGCTGGGCCTCCTGCGCCAAAAAGATAGCCAAGTTGTGAATGCAAATGAAAAATTCTTGAAGGAAAACGGAGGTGCTACTCCAGTGAAGCCGTGAATGATAAGAAACCAAAGAGTACTATTTTGATACAGGTAATGTTTCACTGGTCTGGAGAGAAGATCAGCCCAGCCACAGCATTCCCTTAAGCCAAAGCCCATCCAGAGCAAGGCCCTAATCTCTTCCAATTTTATGAAGGCTGAGAGAGGTGAGGAAGCTTCAGAAGAACGGTTTGAAACTAGCCGAGGCTGGTTCATGACACTTAAGGAGGGAAGCCATCTCTGTAACATGAAAGCACAAGGTGAAGCAGCAGGTGCTGATGGAGAAGCTACAGCTCCGCTCACTAAGGAAGCTGCTGCACCAAACAACAGGTTCTCACTGGAGATGAAAGTCTCCTGTTGGAAGAAGATGCCACCTAGGACCTCCCACAGCTAGAGGGAAGTCAAGCCGTCAGCCTAAAAAGACAGGCTGACTCTCGTTAGGGCTTATGCAGCTGGTGACTTTAAGTTGAAGCTAGTGTTCATCTGCCATTCTGAATACCTCCCAAGAATTTTGCTAAATCTACTCTGGCTGTACATTAGAAATAGAACTACAAAGCCTGGATGACAAAACATCTGTTTACAACATGGTTTACTGACTATTTAAAGCCCACTGTTGGGACCTGCTTGTCGAAGATTCAAACCACTCCTGCTCGCTGACAGCGCACCTGGTCTCCCAAGAGCGCTGATGGAGGCAGACGTAAGACTGATGCTTTCATGCCTGCGACAGTGACATCCATTCTGCAGCCCAGGGATCAAGGAGTTATTCTGACGTTGAAGTCCATCTTTTTCATTAAAAGATACATTTTGTAAGGCTATTATCCACAGATAGTGATAGATGGGCAAAGTGCATTGAAAACCTTCTGGAAACGATTCACCATTCCCGATGCTGTCAAGAACATTTGTGATTCATAAGAGGTCACAGGAGTTTGGAAGAAGCTGATTCTACTCCTCATGAATGACTGAGGGGTTCCTTCCGTGGAGGAAGTCACCACAGACGTGGTGCGAACAGCAAGAGAACCAGAACTAAAGTGGAGCCTGACGATGTGACCGCACTGCTGCCACCTCCTGAGAAAACTAACAGATGAGGACTTGCTTTTCACCCCCAAGCAGAGGCAGCAGTTTCCAGAGATGGAGCCGCCTCCTGGTGAAGATACTGTGAAAGCTGTTGAAATAACAAAGGATTTAGAACATTACAGAAACTTAGTTGATAAAGCAGCACCGCACGGGCAGGGTTTGAGAGGCTTGACTCCAACCTGTAAAGTTCTGTAGGTAAAATGCTATCAAACAGCATTTTGCTACAGAGAAATCATCTGTGAAAGGACGTCAACTGAGGCAGCAAACTTCATTGTCATCTTATTTTAAGGACTTGCCACAGGCACCCCAGCCTTCAGCAGCCACCAACATGGAGCCAGAGAACAAGCCCCCACCAGCAAAAGATGATGACTCGCTGAAAGCAGAGATGATAGTTAGCGTATTTTAGAATAAAAATGATAAATTAAGGTATGTACCTTGGTCTTTTGGGCATAATGCTGTTGCACACTTAATAGACAACATTATGGTGTAAACATAACTTTTATATGCACTGGGAAACCAAAAAATTAATTTGTCTCGCTTTACTGTCATCGTCCGGAAGCACACCGCAGCCTCTCTGAGCCATGTCTATTGCTTTCGCCCCATCATAAAGTCAAAAAATCGTTATGATGGTTCAACTGAAGTTGGGGACTGTTTATTAAAGATGTAAGAGAAAACAGAACTGTTGTAGCCACAAGTTATGTTGTGATTCAGAGTAACATTTCAGCCAGCAACTTGTTGAAAGATACTCGTTATAGGTATTTCTTTCTGAGTCTGGGCATATGAAATTAACTGCTAAGACAATTAAAACTCTCTTCATATGTGAATCAGTTATTTACAGGCATAGGAGTTTCCCTATGTTGCTTAAAGGAAAATGAGCCAACTACAGACACACCAGTGAATATGAGGAAGAAACCAGACATGTGAAGACAGCAAAGGTAAAAGCAAGTAACAGAGTTGTACGGCAAGGACAAGAAATACTGGCTCTTCCAGGTAAGGTGGCCATGTTTGTACAGTGAAATCCAGAGCCGATTTTTTGAGAGATGAAGATAGAAGTTGTTTATATTTAAGTCTGTAATAAGAACCATGCCAGTCTAGTTCTGAGTGAATATGAGAAATGTTCTCTACATAGTATATAAACAGATTTAACTAAGTAATAATAGAACATAGCTCCACTGTAAGAAAAATGGTCTTGAGTTTAATCTGTGGTTCATCTGTATGTTATTTTTTTTACCTTTGATTTCTTTTTTACTTGTAAAGTTGTCAGGTCACAATTCTGGAATGAATTCGAACGCATAAATGAGTATGTCAGTTCAAATGAAGATGCAATTCAGGTTGTATGGAGATTATACTTTTATTAATGGTGAAAAAGCATTTACCCAAAGTGAATGTTACAAAATACAGAGTAGTGGCACAGTGCGCTGAGCCCGCTGTTTGAGGCATTATCCCAACCTGCACACGGCGCCCTCTCATTTTTGACCTTTTCCCCCCTCTTTTACCTCCAACCAAATTTTTAACTTAAAAATTAAGACAAATGGGAACATTTAATGCCTAATCCTTGAGCAATAGTTACTAGGGAAAAACCTATTAAACAAGTTACCTGCTCTCAAGTGTATTTTAAAACTAAACTACTAAAATAGAAAACAGACTAGGTTACAGCAGCTATAACACAAGTCATAAAAGTTTGATAAGGTTCTTAGGTACTACATTAATAACTAAGATGAAAATATAATTCTTCCACTGTGTCAATCATAAAATGCATGCAGAGAGAGAGAGAGACAACTGCACGATATAAGGCTTGGCTTGAATACCCAAATGCAATTTTCCCCTCTTCCTGTTCAGAGCCTAGGAAAGAAATACAGAACTTGAGTATACATGTAACTGTTCCAGCTTCCCTGGAGCCAGACCAATTGGATCAGAATTCCTGATTCTGGAATAACTTTCTGAATAGGTTTTATTAAAGTCGGGGAGATAAGTAGCAAGACGGTAAATGTCCTCACAGGGAAATCCTTGTTCAATATTCCCCGATTAGACAACAGTTTTCCACTGAAGTGTCAGCCATGGAACAATTTTAAAAGGAATGCCAACCAAATTCTTTCCTTATAGGGTATTTTAGTCATTTGTTAAATTGAGAAGACTGCTTGGGACTAATTCTTCATACTTAAGGAAAAAACTGTAAAATAGACTTGTTAATGGGTTCTGTGAAGCCTTACCTGGGCATATGGCAAGTTTGTGATTTAAAGGTAATTGACCTTTTAAAAGCTGATTTGCTAATGATTAAGAAATCGCATAGATTTTCCTTACTTACTTCATCTCTGAATCTGCTTCTCTCTCACTACATGCAGTTGAACAGCTACACTCAGGCCTAAACTACGACCTCAAAGGGCAAGTTTGTCGGAAGGCAAGGTGAACCTTAATGTTCTGATACAGGTAACTTAATCCTATTAATCCCTACTTGAAAGGGTTTTACTTTTCCTTCCATGTTATTTGTGCAGAAATATTCCCTAATTATGTAAAATTTGTTTTTCTTTAATTTTTAGACAGACAGCAACATATATAAGAACTGAATTCTGGAAACATTTAATAGATGATTATATACATTCTAAGGATGTGTTCTAAATTTAACTTAGTCTCCAATTTGGACACAGATGTCCTGAATGTCGTCATAACCTGTCCTATTCTTGCACAGGAATAAAAGAATGTCAGACCCAGTAGCAGGGACAGCGGCATTTCTTGGATTTACTATAAATAGTGCATTTATCTAATTCTTGACCGTTAGTCTTCTCTGAACAGCTTAACTGTGCAGAATAGTGACGTGCTGTATAAAATACAACGTAATTTCCAAAAAAGGAACTTTACAGGTAAGCCCAAACTTTATTTAAAACTACGTTTTAAATTTAATGTTACCAAACATCACATGGGAAAATAATTAAGAAAAAACCACCCTGTCCAGAATTCAGTTTCTGGTGTTTTAAACTGCCACGGGCAGAAACCACACTTAGCAAGAATGCAGTGTCAAACTAATTTACATTTTATACAGATTGAAACGATGTTTACTTAGTGCCATTTTCATATGCATTGACTCTGTAAAGAGAGGTGAGCCTCTGACGATGTCTTACATACTTTGGGTTCCCACCGTCTCTGAAAATGAGAATAACAATTACTGCCTCAATTACTGAATTAAGACATTACTTAGTAGAACTTAATATTCTCTTCCATTAAAATGTTTACTTCTAATATAGAGTTACATTACAAAGGAAATATTTAGTTGGCTATAGTGATTCCCTAAGAACACACAGGAAGAGTTTAAGAAAGAACAGATCAGCGTTTGTTTTTAAGATGGCAGACTGAGTAGACTTCCTGTCTCTCAAAAAAACCCCACTTGAAAGAACAGAACTAGGGAAGTGACTAAATCCAGACTAACAAAAGAGGAGGGGCTGGGAGGGCCGGGGGAGGGCCGGGGGACGGACCTGCCTGCAGCCCCCAGGGTGCTGGAAGCAGCAGCAGGCACGGGGAGGGACATGGAGATGCTACCGGGCAGGACTGGGCTGAAGATGGCATCCAGGGGTCCTTACTAAACCCGTAAGGAAGGAAATCTGGGACTCATTTTGCTCTGTAATGAGCCATATTCATATAGAATCCTCTTCAGAAAAAGTGTAGAAGATGTAATATAGTTCACTAAATAAAACAAAGTGTGTCTTTACTTTAAAAACCTTTCTAAGGTTAAGGACAAAAGGAACCTGCACAAAACAGGCAGGAGGAAAAGGGGGGTGGCTGTTGGGTGATGACCAAGGCTGATGGAACCAGAAAATGTATGTATTTAAAGTAACAATGGTGACAAACAGAAAATATCAAAATAATATGAACACTGAAAGAAGGACAGGTAGGTCTAAATACTCACTTTCATAAGGGAGTTGAGATAGTATCTGAATTTCTTAAATCAAGAAAAATAATATTATTTAGCAATATAGCAGGTCTCTTCCAAAAGAACTAAGAACCAATAATTTTAAGAGGGACTTTTGCCAATTATCATTAACTCTTTTGTACCATGTGCATATATTACTTTGCCAAAATTGAAGATTTTAAAAGTAGAAAAAATGATCTACCATTTTCTGAATTAGGCAGCTAAACCACAATTTTTACAAAATCAGGCTTCCTTTCCAATACTTGGCTTCAATCTCCCATGTACTAGTAGCGTGTTTTGAAAAACAAAACAAAATGACAGCATCAGCATTTAGTGATATGGTTACAGTGGGTAACTCCTACCAGGCTCCTTAAGCATCTGAGAATTCCCAGCTAATTCTTTAGTCTGCATTTCACATAGTATTTCATCAGATAAATGGTTCTTCTGTTGTTCTTCTACCATTTTCTTCCTTAGATCTGCCTTTGGAATGAAAATAAAACATACAAAATCAGTCATCCTAACAATATTTGTTATATAAAGACGAGTTTAATTAGAGAGAGCCAATACCTCTGAATATATTGTTAATTTAAGTGGTAAATCTTCAACCTTCACAAAGTCTTCTTCATCGGATTTTTGACTTATGTTGCCAGATTCTGCTTCCTGTAAGATAAGTTACATTTCATGAAGGCAATCCAGTGTCTCTGGATCTAAACCAAAGGCATCCCTGCCAAGAGAAAACGGACTCCCAGGTCTAAGTACACGTCCGCTATCCGCTATCCGCTCTGGAGGCCCCACTAACGAGATGAGGTAGGATGTGGCAGCTCGTTTCTGTGTTTTCCTGAAACTTGAATGCTTTCTCCTTCTCTCCTGTCCGATGTTTAATAGTAGCAGTATTCTACCATTTAGCTAAGTAGAAACCTTAGGGTTTTTTTCTTTCAACATTTCCTACCCATTTCCTGCTCTCATTCACCTGTTACTTTGTATTTATGTGACACTGGAGCCTAACAAAATTCCTGAACAACGTATTTTATGCAGTCATCAGGTTCATTCCAAACCCTGACTTTTACCATTTCACTTTCTTGAGCAAAAACCTTCAGTTACAGCCCTGGCCACACTTTGATATCAGCACCCTCCATAACCTACCTTAGAATTAATTTCAACTGAATGCCTCTTATAGCAACTCTATATATTCAGTCAATGAGAATAAAACAGGTCACTCTCAAAATTTTTAATGCATAATTAATTTTACTGCTGGTGAAGCAAATTGTTACAGTCTAATATCCTCCTATTGTAAGCCCCCTTTTTGATAAATTATGAAATCACAATTATAAATATATCTTTAGGAAAAAAATTTAAGAAATCTATGAAAGACATTCCTTAAACTTAAAAGTATTGTTAAAAATCCCTTCATTTTTGCTGACAAGTACATAAAACCCATACCACCCAAGGAACACAAAACTAGCCTACCTGCTATAAAATGAAATTGAAACAAGCACCTAGAGTAAAACTTGGCTAATTATATCTTAAGTGCAGATTTGCTACCATGCATGTTACTGCAAAGAGATAAATATTCCAAGTGGTAAATATTCCAGTGTATCAGACATTTATGAAATGTTATGAACAGCTACAAGGCAACCGTGGGTACTGAGAGGTGACTGAGGGTGCGCATGGCGTTATCCCCTTGGAGTGGAACTCGAACAACCGAGATTGCCACCTAAAAGCCATCTCTGGTTCTCAAAATCATAAAAAGTAGAATTAGTACTCTAATACTACTACTGCTTTTAGGTTTTGAGATAGTCATCTTATTTTAAACTTGAACAGAACGATGATAGTGAACTAACAAGTTTGATTAAGAAAAATGTTCTGACAGTTTCTAAACCAAAACACAAAGCAGAGTTATGTTTATATGTTGAAAATATTAACCTGAAATAAAATACAGAAATGAAACAAAAATGATACATACATAGTCATTCACTAACACTGGAGATTCAGTATCAGGACTTCCAGCCAGAGAACTTTCAGGAGTTTCCTGAGCAGATTTAACTTCTTTGACTCTAGGCACCAAGGTTTCAATTTCAGTTAAAGGCAAAGGATTAGGCTGTTTAGATGAATCAATGGTAGTAACAGAGTCCTTTTGAACAGCATTGTTTAAAGGCTGCTCATTTTCCAAGATATTAAGGTAACAGGGTTTCACAGGAGTGCCATCTTGCTCATCTGTCATCAAAACAAAGTCTGAACATTAGTGTAATGTCACACTTGCTAAGTTTTACTGTTATACCAAATGAGGACAGTATGTATGAATGAAAGTAATAAGGCATTTAAGACCCAAAAGAAAAGGTGAATACAAATTTTCCTTATCAATGGTTCCTAAAGTTACTTGATCAGATTAATCTGGGAATGTTTTAAAAATTGGAAATCCACCCAATTTCTCAGAAAGTAGGATTTTCAAGAATATGGTCCAGGAGTGAGTATTTTCAAAAATCCCCCATATTTGCTTCTCAGGATTTCTTACTTGCAGAATTTTGTGTTTAAATATTTGTCAGCTTTTCTTTAACAGTTGTTTGCAGAAGCAAAGCCCTCATGTTTTCTACAAAGGATTTAAAGAGAAAACACGTCGGGTCCAAAATACCTTCAAACTTACATTAGTTAAGATTTTAGTTTTTAAGCACATAAAGGGCACTTTAGATAACCTTAAACTTGAACACTTATTTCAATGTTTACCTTTACTAGTAGTGGGTTCTTGTTCTGATGATGGGACAGTTTTGCTTTCTGCTAATTTTTCTAGGTCCTGTTGTAGAACCTGGAAGGAAAACATGATCACCATACAGGAGGTGGTTACTCCTGTGCAGTTTTTGACCAATCTGAGACCTTCACACAAGAGAACTTAAAAATATCTTCTAAAAGTGTTTCAAGAAGGAGGCTGCAGTTACTTCAGGATGGCTAAGTAAAAAGGTTTTCTTAACCTCAAAATACGGAGAACTGGAATATTACAGATTTCACTATTTTTCATTTCTCAGACCAGACTTTATCTGAAATGAAAATAAAAGACACCTGTTTCTATGAAGTTAAGTGAACAGAAGAACAGACCAGGATGGAAGAAGATACACAAAGCTCAGTTTCTTCAGCAGGAGGAGAGAAAACCTGGGACTCACCTCGTAACTGGCAGTACCAGGTCCCAGGAGGAAGGAATATAACAGTGGTCTGGGAGTTGGTGATGAAAATGTGTTGTTGGGCAGCTGACTGTTGAAGGAAAATCTGCACACCCTGTTTCCCTTACCCAACTTCAGCAAATGGGGAATTACGTTTTTGAGAAACTGAACTAGTAAGCCTCAGCCTGGGAGCTGCCAGGGGAGGAGTGCAGAGGACAACAGAAAGGACCGCGCAAGCTACCCGACACCCACCTCTGATTAAAAATGATACATACATAGTCATTCACTAACACTGGAGATTCAGTATCAGGACTTCCAGCCAGAGAACTTTCAGGAGTTTCCTGAGCAGATTTAACTTCTTTGACTCTAGGCACCAAGGTTTCAATTTCAGTTAAAGGCAAAGGATTAGGCTGTTTAGATGAATCAATGGTAGTAACAGAGTCCTTTTGAACAGCATTGTTTAAAGGCTGCTCATTTTCCAAGATATTAAGGTAACAGGGTTTCACAGGAGTGCCATCTTGCTCATCTGTCATCAAAACAAAGTCTGAACATTAGTGTAATGTCACACTTGCTAAGTTTTACTGTTATACCAAATGAGGACAGTATGTATGAATGAAAGTAATAAGGCATTTAAGACCCAAAAGAAAAGGTGAATACAAATTTTCCTTATCAATGGTTCCTAAAGTTACTTGATCAGATTAATCTGGGAATGTTTTAAAAATTGGAAATCCACCCAATTTCTCAGAAAGTAGGATTTTCAAGAATATGGTCCAGGAGTGAGTATTTTCAAAAATCCCCCATATTTGCTTCTCAGGATTTCTTACTTGCAGAATTTTGTGTTTAAATATTTGTCAGCTTTTCTTTAACAGTTGTTTGCAGAAGCAAAGCCCTCATGTTTTCTACAAAGGATTTAAAGAGAAAACACGTCGGGTCCAAAATACCTTCAAACTTACATTAGTTAAGATTTTAGTTTTTAAGCACATAAAGGGCACTTTAGATAACCTTAAACTTGAACACTTATTTCAATGTTTACCTTTACTAGTAGTGGGTTCTTGTTCTGATGATGGGACAGTTTTGCTTTCTGCTAATTTTTCTAGGTCCTGTTGTAGAACCTGGAAGGAAAACATGATCACCATACAGGAGGTGGTTACTCCTGTGCAGTTTTTGACCAATCTGAGACCTTCACACAAGAGAACTTAAAAATATCTTCTAAAAGTGTTTCAAGAAGGAGGCTGCAGTTACTTCAGGATGGCTAAGTAAAAAGGTTTTCTTAACCTCAAAATACGGAGAACTGGAATATTACAGATTTCACTATTTTTCATTTCTCAGACCAGACTTTATCTGAAATGAAAATAAAAGACACCTGTTTCTATGAAGTTAAGTGAACAGAAGAACAGACCAGGATGGAAGAAGATACACAAAGCTCAGTTTCTTCAGCAGGAGGAGAGAAAACCTGGGACTCACCTCGTAACTGGCAGTACCAGGTCCCAGGAGGAAGGAATATAACAGTGGTCTGGGAGTTGGTGATGAAAATGTGTTGTTGGGCAGCTGACTGTTGAAGGAAAATCTGCACACCCTGTTTCCCTTACCCAACTTCAGCAAATGGGGAATTACGTTTTTGAGAAACTGAACTAGTAAGCCTCAGCCTGGGAGCTGCCAGGGGAGGAGTGCAGAGGACAACAGAAAGGACCGCGCAAGCTACCCGACACCCACCTCTGATTCCAAAACACCAGCAGCCACGGAGCTCTACCTCCTTCCAGACAGGAACTGACTGCAGGACTTTCTTTGGAGAAACCAAACCACCCCAGGAAGAGTTTCTACCAAAAAGCTGTCTACTAGTGCCCTACAGTGAAGCCCAAAAGGAACCCAGCCAGCTTTTTAGTTACCATTCTTCACTAGAGACTTTGAAGGTAGGGGTGGGCAGACAGCTGAAGCAAGCCCCAAGTGGGGGAGAGAACATACGGCTCCCTTGAAGTAACGGTACTACGATGACATACAATCTGGGGAAGAGGGAGGAGGAAGCATTTAGAAATTAGTAAAAATTTCAAAAAGGATTAAGGTCAAAGAAACCTGCCAGGAAGTAAAACAGAAAGAGCAAGGGAACAGTAAGAGGGGAGAAAAGTAGATCAGCTAATGCGGGCTAATCATGTCTGGTAATACTAATTCCAGAAGGACAGAGGAGAGAAAATGCTGAGGTTAGCAACCAAATTTACCAAACTGGGGGACATGATATAGATTAAAAAGATCCACTGAGTATTAGAGTCAATGAAAAAAGAACCACAATGATACGTATTATTGTAAAATTTCAAATTCCCAAGGGGAAAATGCTGCTAGAAGGGGAAAGAAGAGATTTACAAAAGAAATCAGAGCTAAGAAAGGCACTGACTTCTCCACGACAGTGCAAACTGGAAGACCAGCAGTGCTCTCAAACCAAACCTCAGGCAGGCGCTTGTTGTGCACTCTTAGTCATGGCATAGTGCTCCACCAAACTAAGGTAATAAACCAAAAAAAAGACAAAATTGGATTCCAGAGAGATCTAATAAATGACAGGGGACGGCTGGGAGCCACCCCCAGAATGGGGCAGAGCGCTGGGAAGGCCAACACGGGCAAACTGGTCCTTGCAGAAAAGTGTCCTGAGAGGTTTACACAGCCATGGGCAAGCACAACTCACACTTGGGTGTGTGTTCAAAGAAAATTAATAAAAACTGAAGCAGTTATTTCAGATGAAAAAGTGTACACGACTAGCAATAAACAATATTTCCTCAGTTCAATAGTCAATATTTATTTATAAAGCTAAGTTAAATCTAAATATTTGGTTAATTAACCAAAACACAAAGGAGTCATAAGTGACCTAAAAAATCTTCACCTGCCCTTACAGGAAGTCAGTAGAGAATAATACATAAATTAATAAATAACACACATGCATATTAGTCAGAAATAGAGGTAAACAGAAGAAATCATACAAAGTGGAGGTGGGAAGGGGTATACTATTTCCATGTATTAGGAAAAATGTAAATTAAAAAGCCAGATCTTTGAGAGTGTTCTCATGGTTTTTAGCATTTGTTACCAAAAACAAACAAAAAAAACCATTAAAATGCTTTAAGCACTGCTAAATAGAGAAACTAGAGGTACGTGTTCATGAAAACGAGGAGGAGGAAGCTGTAAACTGACATCTTTACAAGGATCTGGTGTCAGTAAGACTGCTGGACGATGTGCCGCCGACAATACCTGAGCGTCGAGCTCATTTTCTTCTGCAGCGTCAGTGTTAGCCTGAAGGGAAGTCTGGACATCTACAGGTCCCTCTTCAAATTCTTCTATTTCTTCATCTTCATTCTCATCTTCTCCACTTCCATAATTAGTCAAAGCCTGAGTTTCAGCTTTGGACAAATCTAGGATTAATACACATAGTTTAGCACATTTTCAGTACAACCGTAATAGAGGCTACCACTTATGGCATTCCTGCATCATGTAGTGCTTTACGTGGTCTACCTTAGATCGTCAGAACACTAAATCCAGAAAACTGGTGCAGAAAGAAGATAATTTAGCCAGAGTCACAATGGTATTCAAACTCAGGGCCGTGCAATACCTGATTCTCTACTGATTACAGTCTTACCAAGCTGTATCAGTAAGTGACCTCTAAAGAACTAATGGGTAAAAACCTAGTACAGAGCCTTCAGACTTACTAATAGACACGGGACCTTCTTCACTTTCTTCATCATCTTCTTGATCAGAAACATCAGATCTCACATTTTTGGGACCAGCACTGTTGTATGTATCACATGTTTGCATCTGCTTAACTGTTTCAGTCTCATCCTTGTCCTAAGCATGAATAAATTTGAGTAATTAATTACTTAAAGTAGATTTTTTTTAAAGGTACATATAAAGTACATCATAAAAATGTCATTAATACGCTGAATCATTATTGACATGTTTTTAAAAGGTTTGTCAGATAAAGACTTGATGATTTACTTAAAATTTACTCGTTTCAAAAGCCCCATTCTTAGGCACAATTAGCACATACTTTGTCTTCATCATCAACTTCTCCAGCAGGTGAACCATGATCTTCTTCAAGAATCCACTTGGCCTACAAGCCAATCAATTAAGCAGAATTTAGGTATAACCTTTCAGCATTACACTCAGGAACACAGTAAGCTTTAACAAATGGAGCTTTAATTATCTGCTGCATTTTTTCACCCCATCATCCAGAGTAAACGCTTAATAAATTCAATTTCTATTTAGATCTTTAAATTAACAAAACAAAATCCAACACTGCCTAACTGACATCTTCAAATATATAGGAAGGATCTCATTGAGCCCCAAATAACAGTCTTGATTCCCTACCTTCCAAAACCCCGTCTTCCTTCCTTCAGTTTTCCCAATCTCAGCAAACTGCCCCTCATGCACCTAAATGCGAAGTCAGAAAACTAGGAGCCAGCCCATGCTCTGCTTTTACCACATACTTCCAAACGTGAGTGTGCCAGCCAGCACCAATAATCAGAACGGGGCAGCTGCACGTCAAAGCTAAGATGCCATTTCCGACCTGGACTACTGCCAACGGCCTTACAACTCGTTCCCTGCTTGTCTCTACTGCCCTACAATTCCTGCTCACTATCGTTTAAGTTGTACACGAGATGTCACTCCTTTATTTCAAACTCACGCCTGGGTTTCCATCATGCTTTTAATAAAAAATAGGGTCTTTACCACAGTTCTCATGCCCCATAGCTTGGCCTTACTCCCCCACTGACCCTACCCCCTCTACCCTCCCTTCCCTTAAAGTGTCCCTGGCTCCCTGGCCTCTGTTCTCTGAACTGCTTGACCCTGCCCTGGAGTCGCCACACTCAGGTCTTCCCTGCCTGACGGGCTCTGCCCTCCCATCTGCATTACGACCTGTCTCTCACGCTTGCCCATACTTCACCCCCTCAGAGTACGTGCAACTGCCTATCTAAAGCAGCTCTTCCCGTTATTTAATATGGTATTATCCCATTTTGTTTTCAAGCTCTTAGCAGACGCTGAAATGATCTGTAACTTAAATTTATGTCTAGAATTAAAACATGAAAAGTGTGAAACAGGCAGCTTGACTATCACCTACTTTACATTTCAGGAACAAGGGTCATCTCTCTTGTTTTGTTTCCAAAACTGCTGTCCCAGAAGGGTACAGGGCTTGGGAAGAAGCCTCCACGTATGCCTCAAGTTGACGGGAAGAAAACCTCATCCGATTTCAATGTGATCAAGATCAATTTAACAGAGTATGAGAAACTACAGGGATGTGCAGTCGAAGTCCCAGCTAGCAAACAAGCATGCGTGTTGGCTGGGGGATGAATATTCCTGGGAAGTCTATGGGGTTGGCAGTAGCCATGGCCGACCGTCTGGTCCTCCTCTCTCCTCTGGAAACCTAAGTAAGTGGCAGTAATGTGAGCGGGATATTCATCAATTCCTACCTGCATTCCTGATCTTGAGCCACTGCCGTTACTCCTGAGATTCAGTGTGTAGCTAGCCCATGTACTGATTCATAATCTGATTAACTGATACTAAAAAAAACACTTTGGCTGAGGTCAGGTATGATTCTGGTTATTATAATGATCGAGAACCAGAGTTACATGCTAATTATTAACAATCAAAGTGAACGTCACTTACCTCTTTGGCATAAGACTGTATCACTCCAGCTGCTGCTATTTTTCTTTTGCATCTCTGTTTTACAGCTATGCTGTTATTATCCAAATCTTGCATGAGCTTAAAGAAAGCCAGCTCATTAAACAACACTTCAGATATCTCTACCAGAAGATCTTCTCCACAGTCTTTCAGTTTTCTGCCAGCAAATTTTGCAAGTGAATCCTATTCAAAGATAAGCAAATAACTAAGGTTATAGAAAAATTCAACTGTTTATAAAGCAGTACAGATGATTAAATTGTAATACTCACCTAAGGAAGAACAATGTCTTACTACCTTTTAGTACTGAAAAACTTAAAATGAATGGGTAAGATTACTAAGAAAAAATAGGTTACTGTACTAAATAGGAATCCTGCTAGTCCTGCTTAGAGTATACAAACAAGAACAGAACAAGGTCAGCCACAGATTCAGGCCCCTGCTCAGTGTAAGTGCTGGCCAGCAATGAGGAAGGCACAGGCTCCTAGCGTGTCAAGCGTTCCCACTCAGCAGGGGGCGGGGGTGCGTCTGTTCTGTGTGGACAAGTCAGAGGGGCAGGAGAGAGGGAAATACAGTGGTCTGCATCTCAACGGGACGGTCAGAGTACTTTTCAAGTTTCCCCCTTTATATAAGTCAGCCAGGCATTCTAATTTAAACTTTTTCTTCAGAAACAGGTTAAAAGTAAACTTTAGTCTTACTCAAGTTGAAATACAGCATCATCAAATTAACAACTCACTATACAGATTTTTTATAAAACTTTTTCTTTCTTCTTAAAAATATGGACTATGCTGTTTAGAAAACAGGCAAACAATCATGATATTCAGTGTCTTCTTCCCCAAACCACCTTATCTAGCACAATCATGGAAGAAGTACAAGTGCTGGGCGCCTTGTGGAAAATTCACTAAACTGGTTTTATAAGAGAAGTAGAGGGTAGTAATGTAAGCTCTAACTCAAGAAACATTTTCATTACTCTGTGCAAGATTTAATGTAAACTAACTCATTCTTCATGTAGGTAACCTTGGGAATAAAATCAGCAATTGGGTAAAGAAAAGCATCATATTTTCTTAGACTCAGAAAAAAAAATCTCATTTCCAAATTAGTACTTCGGATCTGCCCACATTATAATACTAACAAAAACCAAGGAAAGACTATATGGATCTTGATAAGACAAAAATATATTACAAACAACTTCTCCTTTAGCCTGATTCTAAAATGGAGTTATTTCTTCCTGTAGGAATAAGTTACATAAATTTATAAAATACACTTATCAAAAATTAGCATTTTTAAACACTGCATAGCACCACAGATAATTTTATGTTCTTTATAAATTGTTAGTACAATTAGACTAAATAAGAGCCAGGACCATTTGGAACCTATTATTGGGTTTACACTTGTCTTAACAACAAAAAAAAGGAAAATTATAGTGATGGAAATTTGCAGCAAGCCTAGGGTTTTAAATATGTTAATAGACAAAGTGATGATATGAATTTAAACACAGGAATAGGAAGCACTGAACAGTTTCACAGGAAAATTTGTGGAAACTATTTTCTAGTTTGCAGTAGCCTCACTATTTCTGTGAGGAAACATCCAGGCGAGTTTGACTGTGAAGTGTTTCCTCAGTGGAGTAAGCTATCCTCACCCACCTAGGGCCTCCCAACCTCACCGCTATTACCAGGCCCCAGGGGGCCAGGGTCGGCCCCTCCCTGCCTGCGGTGGCGAACCAACAGCTCCTGGAAAGGCGAGAGCGCCCCCTAGCGATGACCGAGTTAAATGAAGACACAGGCTCTAACACATTTTTTTTTTAAAACCACATTATGGAATAACCTAGAAAGTACTAAAATGTCATCTGAAATGGATATCTACTTGAATTAACTGTGTAATGTCAGAAAATAGCCAAAAATAGAAAGAAAAATTCTACCCTGAGGGTCTATACTGCTAAGTCATAGAAGTATAACTCTTACCTGTAATATACTTCCAAGTTGTTTATGAAAGAACTTCACAAACTCTTTGCTCTCATCATTTTGCTGGGTAAGGGTCAAAACCATGCGTCTTACTGAAGTTAGAAGTTGAGAAGAACACACTTCATCCATGTGTTCCTGAGAAAAATCCTAGTTGGTTAGGATATAAACTTACTTATTTACAAAAAAAGCATTAACTCACCTGAGATTTTAATTGTTTTGCATAGATGCTTCTTAACTTTCAGCAATAGATATGGAAAAACTTGTTCCTAAGAAGAGCCAAGCTCCCCCTGTACACACATAAAAAGGTGTGTAAATTTTGACCCCCCAGAGCAGATGAAAGCCAGTAAAAGAAACTGGCTGATTCAGTGCGTTTCCTCACTTCCTTTCTGTGCAGCAGGGAGCGGTCATGCCAGTTGCCACACTGCCAGTCTTCTATCCACACTGCAGGCATCGCAACTGCTCTTCCAACAATACTTCCCTCCTCCCCACCCCCTCTACACCATCTTCTAGCTCAGGCCGCCTCAGCCTCGACACTTCTGACATTCTGTGCAACGGGAGGACGTTTCAGCGGCCCTCTGGCCCCTACCTGCTGGATCCAAGCAGCAACGCCACCCTCTCAAACCCTGACAACTAAAAATGCACCTAGACATTACAACATGTTTTTCTGTCAACATCACCACCCCCAACTGAGAACCACTATCCTAACTTAACAAGGCACTTTGGCCAAATATTCCTTCAGAAGGACGTACAAGCTACATAAGAATCCAAATCAAGATTAACTATCAAGTGAGTCCATAAAACATACCAAGGAACCTCAAGGTTCCAATCCCTCCTCTGCCATTAGCCTTATTTGGGCAAGTCCTCTAACCTTTGCTTGGGTAAGAAGTTTGTTTTGTTTTTTTCCTACACAAATGTGTAAAATGAGGTGGTCACACTAGATGATTTCTAAGGTCCATAAATCTAAGGATTTAAGCTCATTAAAAAAATTCATGTGTCAAGGCAGACAATTGAAAAGAATGGCTCGTCTTCAAAGGACTGGCCACCAGTGAAGTCTGCTCCGGGACCAAGCAGGCCCTGCGCCACGCGCTGTCAGCAGGTGGTACATGCTGACCACAGGGACGGTTTTCTACTCGTCCGGTGCATAGGGGCCGGCTCTCGGCGACGCTCATGCTCGCTGAGTGGTGTCCTAAAGGGCACACGCCAGGCGCCGCGTGGAGCTGTGGCCGCACATCAGAGGCAAACGCCAAATTACCTCTGAAGAAGAGATACTTGAGCCAGACAGAAAAGAGCCAAAATATTCCGTGTGTTTGATAGTCACAACTTGCACAAGGAGCGAACATGTGAAGCAGCAACAGCAAGCGACTGCAGGCACAGGGCAGGCGGGGGCCACGGAGGGGGTGCCGGACGGGGCGCAGTGGGAGGCGGGGCGGGAGGCGCACCGGGTCCGGGGGCAAGGCCTCCGAAGGCAGCAGCTTGCTCAGCACGCATTCACTTCGTGACCACTAGGACAGGCGGTCTCGGCAAAAGTGAAGGATGTGAATTAAGGTTATGCCGTTGGAGAGAAGGAAGTAAAACCGACTGCTCTGAGGAGGAAGGTCAATTTTGGACTCACTGGTGACAGAGGAAAAGGGAGTCAACAAGACTTAGGTGGGTGCGATGCTGACGCTAACAAAGACATTCCACAATACACCAAGACAGTCAACATTTGAAGTGAAATGAGACATGATAAACAGAATCAGATCATTAGTTCTACTCATTTTCTTGGCCTCAAGTAGCTTTCTGAAATGCTAAATTTAGTAAGGGAATCCTTATGAAAATGTGTCACTTAAATCAGACACAAAATAGTGAAAGCAATAAAATTTCCTAAAGATGCATTCCCTAAGCATAAAACTAGATCATTTATATTTTTTAACCCTTAGAAAACAATTTTACCTATTAAATACCTAATTTAACCTTCAGGACATGTTTAAAATTATTTATTGCATTATTCACAATAAAACAAAAATATACAAAAAAAATGGCAACATTTATCTCTGCTTAAAATGACAGTAATCAAAAACTTAGATTAAGTCAATTCAATTGAGGGAATGGTCCAAATTCTTAAATAAACACCTATCTACCTATAAACAATACATGCATAATTTTATAATTTATAGGAACATACATTTTGGGGGGAAGTGAGTATATATTTAATAAATAAAAATAAGTAATTCATTAATAAATAAATTAAATACCTACTTAATAAATAAATAATAAAGTTTACAGAGAATGGTTGGTGAAACTGATGTGTTTGTCTTATTTCCTCAAATTCCCCTTATCCAGTCTCTGAAGCCCTTGAGTGAAAATACTAAGAGATTTAGAAAGATACTGTTCTAGTAGAGTGACACATTCAAATAAATGACACTGTCATGAATGCTTTAACATAAGCATGTACCAAGCATCTCAGGGGCAGTGATGAGGAGAAATTCCACCTGAAAAGATATACAAAAACATTTGCGCTGGGTCCTGCAAGAGAAAACTCACTGGCAGGGAAAGGGGGAAAGAGCAGTCTAGGCAAAGGAAGTAAAATGGGCAACGTGCATTTTTGAACCATGTCAAGAAGGATACAAAGTATGTGGAAGGAGTAGTTAAGAGGCTGGGACCTGGCTGTACAAGGTTTTACAAGCGAATCTGAATCTGATCTGTATCCTAGGGGCCAGCTGTTTTCGAAACATACTTCATATAGAGCCTGAAGAGCTTGATGTATTTTGAAAACCACAGCTGAAGTTTAAAGGATCCCTTCATTATTGATTCATTCACTAAGGATCTGCTGAGTGCCTCCCACATGCAGGTACTATTCTTGGCACTGGCGACCAAAACGGCTTTAATTAACATCTCTGACTTCATGGAGCTTCTAAGTAAACAGGGGGAGACATACAAAAGAATAAGCAAATATTAAATAGGTTTAGAAGGTGATAAGCACCATGGCCATGAAGAAAAGCAGGTAAGGAGTAGGGGGAGATCTGCTCACCAGAAAGGTAACATTTGACTAAAGACTTGAAGGTCTCAAAGGAAAAAGCCACGCAGGTACACGAGGGAAGCGCGTTCCAGGCAGAAGAGGCAGCAGGTGCTGAGGCCTCAAGAGTGCCAGCGACGCCAGAGGGAGAAGGTTAGGGGTGACAGAGACACAAGTCTGTTCAGGAGCTGTTGTAGTTGACCAGGAAAAGCCTGTTTTTTAGTTTTTACATGGAATAATTTGGGCATAGACAGAGGATCCTCTCTCTCCTGTTGGCTATGAAGTCTTCAGAGAAAGCAGTTTCTGTAATTGCCTTCTCAAAGACTTCTATACTCATAAAATATTCCAAGGAGAGTAATAACAATAGCTTCTACTGAGGGAAGAAATATAAGTTGTATGGAAACAACTGTTGTCAATGTCTTACACATTGACAAGAATAAGCAGGTTGGTAGGAAATGAGCTCAATGGCAATGTATCTCGCACTTTCCCATGCCTTAAAAGAAAATGCTATCTTTTTATTTCTAATTCGTAAAATTTTCATTTTAAATTAGAATGTAAAAGCACCATCGCAGAAAAAAGTCCTGTCTTCACATTCCATTTCTTGCATGCTTCATTCTCTGTGCTGTTCACTAACATCAAACAAAATTAGCATTGCTTCTAGGACTCATACACTTACTGTTGGTAACACAGGAACCATGAAGGTTTCTGAAGCACAGACAATTCAGCCTTAAAAATGTTCATACTCTTAAGAGTTAGAAATTCTATGTCTAAGAATTATTTCTAAATGGGAAAAATGATACACATATTTAAGTGCAGCTAAATCATATAGGCACCGGAACCAGAATCAACCTAAGTACTAAGCAACAGGGACGGCTAACATCATGGAGAATTCTGTGAGTACTCAACCCTCACAGGAGCCCAGCAGTTCCCACCGGCAGGCCTTCTCCGTCAAGTCTGGCGCTTCCTCTTTCAACAGCTTCTAACTGCCAGATCACCTGGGGCTGGGCTCAGCGCTAGGCCCCGTGCTCGCACCCAGTGCTATGCGTTAGGTGACATCTGTGAACTGCCCTCTGTCTCCAGCTGTGCCCCGAGTTAACTGGATACCCAGCGGACTACATGAACTTTCTATATGGCTCTCCAACAGGCAGTTCAAATTTAATGTCCAAAATAGAATTCTTGACCTCCCCCTTGTCCCAATCCTTCTTCATCTTACTAGATTTTCTTTTATTCCAGCCAGTTTTCTCTCTATCCTATCCTCCAACATCCTGACCATTAATAGAACTTGTTGATCTCCAAAATCTACCCCATGTGTCACCCACTCCCCTTCTCCAGCACCAACACCCTTGTCTAAGCATTATCATTTCTCATCTGATCTTACTGCACTCCAAACCCCCGAGAATCAATTTTCCACAAGCAAATCATGCTGTTTCTCTCTTGCTTAAAACCCTCTACGGAGTTTCCCTTCAAAATCCAAAGTCGGGATTCCTAATCAGAGCCTATAATACTCTATGTAACTGGCCCCTGCCTTTCTCCCCAACTTCACCTCACACAAATTTCGTAGAACCACGTTAAGTCCTCCCCCAGTTCCTTCAACATGCCAGGCCAGTTCCTCCTCTAAGGTCTTTCACTGTGTCTGGAATGACCTTGCTTTAACCTGGCTTCTTACTCCTATCTCTGGCTTCGGCATTCCCTCTTCAGGAGCCTTCTCTGACCTTCCAGTCCAAAACAGACACCGCTGTATCACCATATTTTAATTCTCTGCATGGGACACAACCCTACCTGATACATACTTATATTTTTATGTGTTTTATATAAAATACATTTATATATTTATGTATTTTATACTTTTTTTGGTTGGTATTCTCATCCTAGCATGTAAGCTCCACGAAAGCAAAGGCCTTGATTTGTTCTATGCTATTTCCACAAAACCCAGCATGAAGTAGCATTCTATAAATATTTTTTAAAGGATAATGTGTAGCCATTAAAAAATGTGCAGAACAACAGTAACCTAATAAGATGTTTATGGTATAATACAACACCAAAGCAGAATGTGATATACATGTACAAAATATTACAGAAAGGTTCCCAAAATGATGGGGCTATCTCTAGGTGACAAAAGCATGGGTGACTTTTTAGTTTTTTTACCTGCATTTTCTAAATTTATTAAAATGAAGTCTTTTGTATACATTAAAAAACAAAACACAGAAAGTTTATTTTTCTTAAAAATTGCTGCTTACCTTCAAAAAAGGAATGACTTCTTTCATAATGGCTTTAATTTGCCGGTCCAGCTGCTGAGTATCAATTCTAGGACATGGGATGGTAGAAACTTCACTTATGGGTTGCTGGGAACTATGATTTTCAGTAATAGGAGTTTCTGTTTTTAAAAAGAAAATGATAATTAGCAAAATAAAGCCTGTGATATTATACACATACAGTTATGCAAAATTCTAAATGTTAAATTCTGAAGATTTTATGCTAAAATAATAAAGAGGAACATCTGTTGTAGCACCCTTAATAATTAGAAGAGTGGTAATAAAACTATGATACATCAGGTAGGGTTTTTCATAGCTGTGTATGGAACCATGTTTACTTCCCATCAATCCAAGAACACACCTTCCACATCATCTGCCGCAGCCGCAGTGGCAGCCTCATCCCCATCCTCGACAATCCTGCAGCTGCACGTCGTATCTGTGTTACCTTCAGCCTCTGTCTTCACACGCTCATATTCCCTCATTCTGGCTAATGCTTGATCTAAGTGAATCACAGTGTTACCTACACATGGAACAGAAAATAACATCTAGAAGATACAAAAGCAAACTTTTTTGTATTTTCCTCAAAATGCATTAACAAAAAATGCCTGAACACAGGTAAGGAAAACTAGCTTTAAGGAGTTCCAGACACTACCTTGTTGGGTACTCAGCATATACTGTCATACTTATTTATTTAATCCTTAAATAACTCTGTAAGGTAGAAGATGATGGTACTCCATTTTCAGAGAACTTAAGTAACTTGCCCAAGGTTTCACAGCCAGTTAAATGTATGAGCAGGGATCTTAACTCAGGTTCTTATACTCTGAGGTCCAAAATGATTCCACTACCTCATGTTGCTTCACCTAAATGGTACATAGAAAATAAATTCCAAAATGTCATGCAAATGTTGATAAAACAATCCAGCCTAACACATGTCATAAGGTAAAGAAAAAGGCCTAATGAAATTTCCCAATTCTCCTTTGTCTACTTCACAGAAAGCTAGTGGTGAAGGACTGAGGAAAAAACCAAAAATAGTAAATGAAACACAACAGGTACTTGGCGACTCAAAAAGGGAGATGCATGAAGGGGGAAAAAGCTATAATGGGGTAAGCTCAGTTCAGACTTGGTAACTGTTTATTCAGAAGAGAGCTGAGTTTGTAGAAGCAGGTCTTTGCAGTCATCTAAATCTTGTTCTTATCATAGGAACAACACACTCGAATAATGCAACATGAGATTGTCTTATCAACTAAGTGCCCTGGAGGTTTGAATGATTGAATACTTGGTTATCTTTCGACAGGTTAAAGCCAAAAAAATGAATAAGGTACCTACACATTTTTCTCTTCCCTAATCTCCTTTCCAACTCTAGGAATCAGGGTTTCCTCCTCCCTTTAAAAGTTTTGCAATCCTCTAAGCTTCTTTTTACTATCAATGAAAGAGAAAAAAAAATGCAATGTGCCATGCCTTAGTTATCTGGGTTTCTCACTACAAATTATTTATGCTAAGAAATTTCAGTTCTTACCTCAAATGACGAAGTTGACATTTTACTGAAAATGTAATCAGACAGGCATTGATACCTGTGAAATTTTTCCATTAACTGGAAGACCTTAAAGGATGACCTGTCCCTTAACAGAAAGGAAATTAACATTTTCTGAACTCCTGTTACACGATAGGAAGTTCTGTGTATTTTTCACAAGAACATAGCAGTGTACTGAAGACCCCCATTTTCCTAATACGGACGGCCAGAAGGGCTGGATGGTTCACCCAAGGTCAGAGTCGGGAGATTCATGAGTTCAGGTTGACGGATAGACGTTTAAGCGCAGGTTCTTTCCACCACATCTTGCCTTTCAAACTTTTGTTTCCTTATCAATGCAATTTAGACTGTATTAAAGTCATGTTCCAAAATTATAAAAAATTCTGCTTACCTAGATCATCTGTTGCAAAAGGCTCAAAATTTGAAGATACAGACATGACGCTAGCATTATCAGCATCATTTTGCTCACTTATTTTATGTGTTTCTCTCTCAAAGTTCTTCTCAAAAGTTTCCTAAGTTATAGTTTAAAAAAACAAAAAAAATCACTAATATTTCCTTAAAAAATTTGTTAATATTAAAACTTAGATTAGGTATTTGCATAAAACCATATACTTAATATATGATACAACCAAAGTTATTAAAGGTTAAATAGTCACAAAGAACATTAAAATATTAAGTAACCTTGCAGAACATTTTGTCATTATGTAGATGAGAACAGAGCCAGCTACTGTTTAAATTCTAACTTGGAAAAGTTAACATTTAAATTATTTCTGTACCTTCAGAGAAATTCTCCTGTCTCTAAAACTAACAATGCCTAACCTAGCACCTTACTATGATATCCAGTGGTCTCCTATCACAAGGAAAACATAACAGCATCATTCATATTTTTTAAAATCAACTTTATTGAAATATAATTTACAGATAACAATGCACCCATTAATGTACAATTTGGAATTTTGACAAATATATGCACCCACATAACCACCTTCGCTAAAGATAAAGACTGCTTTCATCAGCCCAGAAAGTTCCTTTGTATCCCTTTGCAGTCAATCTCCACTATACCTCACTCATATGATTTCTATCACCACAAAATAGTTTTGCTGGTTCTAGAACTTCACATAAATGGAACCACTCAGTATATACTCTTTGGTGTCTGACTTTTTTTGCTCAGTATGTTTCTGAAATTAATACATGTCGTTGTATGTTTCAGAAGTTCATTATGTTTTAATGGCTGAATAGGGTTCCACTGAATGGATATACCAAGGTTATCCATTTATTTGTTGATGTTCCAGTTTGAGGCTATCGTGACTAAGATGCTATGAACATTAGGGTACAAGTATTTTTGTGGACATGTTTTCATTTCTTTTGGATGAATACCTAGAAGAGAAATTGCTAGGTCACATGCCTAATTTATGTTTAACTTTCTAAGAAACTGCCAAACTGCTTTTCAAAGTGGTTGTACAATTTCACAATCCCATAAGCAGTGTGAGAGTTCCAATCGTTCCATATTCACACCAGTGCTTCTTAGTCAATCTTTTTAATTTCAGCCTTTCTAGTGGGCATCAGAGAGTATCTTATGGTTTTAATTTGCACACTGTCCACATACATGTTTGTTCATGAAGCACCTGCTCAAATTTCTTGTCCATTTTTTACTGAGCTATTTGCTTACAACTGAATTGTATAAGTTCTTTATATAGTCTGGGATTTGTTACTTATATGGTTATTTGGCAGATATATGTACTGAAATTACTTTCTTCTAATGGTATCTTTTAAAAAGCAGAAGGATTTTTATGAAGTCCAATGTACCAATTTTTTTTTATAGTTATTGCTGTCTATTATCCTAAGAAATCTGCTTCTGTCAAAAGTGTATGGTTTTGTTTTCTTCTAGAATTTTATGGTTTTTAGCTTTCTCAGGACTTTAACTGCAAATTAACTTTTGTGAATAGTATGTTTAAGGGGAGAATCTCACTTATGTACTGACTGAAACTCATTATACAACTGTGCTTTTTTCCTAGCTACTGATTTAAAGTGTTTTCTTAAATTATGAAATGAAAGGTCTGTCTCTGATTAAAGGAAACTGAACCACTTTGTTGGTCCTTCAAGCAAGACTTGCAGGTAGATGTGCTTGTACCCTTTTACAGCACCTGGAATAGAAGATGCAAACTATTTCTTCCTCTGCCTACACCTCAGTTCCCCATTCTCCTTGACTTACAACTCCCAGATGCCTACTTTTATTTTTCTCTTTTCTGGGCTTGAAGACTCTTTTATCCATTCTGCATTGTGTATGCAAAAGCTCCATGAATGGTGCTCAAAGACCTAGGCCTAGAAACATGGTGGAAGAGACTCTATTTGTCCAATACAGTAACCACAAGCCATGTTTCTGTTTAATAAAATTTAAAACTTATTTCCTCAATCCCACTAGGCACATGTGGCTAATGGCCACTGCATTAGACGGTACAGATATAAAACATTCCCTTCACTGTAGAAAGTTGTACCGGACAGCACTGCTCTAGACCTGCGGGTATGAACACTGGATGTTGTGCTACCACTGACTCAATGGCATTCATAAATGGAGAATGTTGACAGAACACTGAATTTAAGTTTTAGATAAGAAAGAACAGATTTACTTATTTAAAAGTAATACTAAGCATAGTTATTTATGCCAAGTACCTACAGTAGTGGACTGAATCTTTGTGTCACCCCAAAATGCACACATTGAAGCCGTAACAACCCATGTAATTGCACTAGGAGGTGAGGCCTTTGGAAGACAATCAGCTTTAGATGAGGCCATGAGGGTGGAGGAGCCCATGATGAAATCAGTGCCCTTATAAGATGAGGAGGAGCTTTCTCTAGCGGCCAGTGAGGGCACAGGGAGAAAGTGGCCATCTGCAAGGCCAAAAGAGGGCCCTCATTAAGAACCAAACCCACTGGCACCATGATTTTGGACTCACCAGCCCCCAGAACTGTGAGAAATAAACGCCTGTTGTTCAAGCCACCATTCTACACTATGTGGTTGTACCACCCTGAGCTAAGACACCTAGTTATTCAGCAGTTCAGTATCTTTAAATTTTTACTTACTTAACTTTAACTTTGTCTGGCTTAACTTTATCATAAATTATAGCTCAGTTTTCAAAATTTGCTATAGATGGGGCAGACCAAAGTCCTCAAATCTTTAAAAATAATTGGAAGTAATACTGCCTATATGAAATTTGGATAAAAAGGGAGGCACTGAAGTTAAGGATATAAAATGACAAAAAGATTTCTAATAACAGTCACTCTCCAAACTCTCTCAGTAAGTTATTTCAATGCCCAATAAACTTCAATGTAACCTAGCACCCCCTATTTTTTAGGTATGTACGGCTAGATCACTTTTCATTTCCCACAGAAAGGAGTACTCAGTTTTCAATTAGCTATACCAACAATCCCAAGTAAGAATTACTTACTTTATATTTGACATTTTAAAGTCTGTTAAAACCCTGTAATTTTTAGACACAGATTTGTTCATAGTAGTGAGGAGTTGGGAGCCTGGTGAGAAAGGTTTTAAGGAGAAAAGATGACTGGATGTACTGTTTTAAACATGAGTATGAGTTAAAGAGCAAATAATTTAGAACAAATCCTCCTTAGTTGTTAAGGAAACTACTATATGTGAAAAAGATACAAGACAATCTTTTGAGAAATACTATCTTTTGGGGAAAATTTATAACATTAACATAATGGGCAGAAACACAGTGATATTTCCAACTCTCTTCCTCCAGCAGATATTTGCTAATCAATTATGGCAGCCTTAGGCATGGATACCCATGAGCTAGAAACCAGAATTGGTATTTAAAAAAGAAGGTATTTGCTGTCCCAGGACCACATACAAACTTTCACAGCAGAATCAAGGTCTGAACCTTTAAATAGATGATTTCCAAATACCCAGCATGTCAATCTCCTCAGTGTCCTAACAGCATCCTAGTTAGCCATTCAGATGTTCAGTCACCAGGAGCTAGGCAGGTGCCATCAGGAGTACACAGTTTATTGAAAATACATCATTTCCCTCACCACTCTTCCATTTCGAGGTCCTTTTCACTTATTCAAAATTTCTTCATTAGTTTGAATACATTAAATTACTTTTTTTCCTGGATGACTTTCTTTTGTCCAGGCTTCTCTACTAACCTAAGACCTGATTTATTTACATTGTTATTTGTTTATTCAAGGGCTCTTACTGTGATCTGACTGCTGTTTGGTTTACTGAATGTTTTGATTGAACACAATAATTACTACTTGATGTCTGAGTCAGCTCCTACGGAATGGAATATAAATGGAATGGAATTTCTATTATTTGTTGGGCAATGGAATATAAATATGATTATTTCAGACCTTATACTCTATCAATTATACATAATTTTTGGTGTTTGCTGCCATGTTTTGATTGAGTTTTATACCTCACCTCAAATTCAAGAAATGCATTATATACCCAGCTTTTTAAAAAAGCTAAAAACTAAATATAGTACATATACTCACAATTTATAACAACCTATTTAACTTTTATTTACTACAGTGAAATTATATCTACATTCATTTAATCATTATCAGCTTACATCATCAGTAGTAGCAAGGCTTTCACTGGGAGTCAGTTCTGAGTTTGATGCTATCCAAGTACCAGAATTCACTGACTTCACATTTTCCCCTTCTTTTTCATGGTTCTCAGAAATATGTCTGGATACTATGTCCTAAATAAACAAATAAGAGTTATTTATGTAAAACATTTATGTTTAATCACAATTTAAAAGCAGAAGCAGACAGAACCAATGCAACACTACTCATCTTATAGATTAACTGTGAGGAAGAAATAACAGTAAAGAGAAAAACACGGAAAAACTGCTCAGCAAAAGGCTTTATCTAAAAACTACCAAAGCTATACAGTAAGTTTTAAATGAAATGGCACAAAAGCACATAAAAAACAGATCAAAATACATATGGAACAAGGACATACTTCCGTCTAAGAAATGGAATATAACCGTGAAGGGGAGGAAAATTAATGTTAGGCACAGGATACCTGCAACGCATATAAAGCCCTCTGCCTCAAGTAGTCTGTATTAAGAAGCTGAAGCTCATGGAAGAGTTCAATAAGAAAATGCGGATGAGACTCATTTTGAGAAATTAGTGTAGCTACTTCAGAATAAATAGTATCCCTCAAAGATTCGAACATGGAAAAATCACTCCCCGTTTCTGGAAGATATAAATGATCAAGAGGTTAGTACTGATGAAATATGTTCCTGACAATTTCTATTAACTTGTGTCATTACTCAAAAATCAGAACATACTTAATTCTATTTCAGAGCTTTTAAAATAGAAAAAGAATCTTAAAATTACCAAAAATAATCTTAAAAATACCAAGATATATACACTGTGTATTAAAGAAGTGTTTAAATGAATAAATAACATTACCTAGCATTATTCAGACCATACTTATTTCTCAAAAATATCTGGAAAATTTTACACATTTCATGGGAATAATCAGTGGAAATGAAATAAAGCTAAATGCAAATGATTTTATTTTTTTGCTAACATGAACTGTTACAAGAAGAGAAATTTGTTTATTTTGTTACACTTGAGAATAAACTGAATAAGGTCTATCTAGTTAGGGTCTATGAGTTCAAATCTCTGCTATCATGTTGTATTGATGAAAAAGTGAATTTGTTAAAGGACAACATAACAGGTCATCTTACTATTGTGTCTTACAGACGCACTCAGTGTAAGCTGGAGCAGGCAGTGACCCCAGAGGTTTTCATTTTCACTGAATCGAGGCAGAATTCTATTATTTAGCAATAATCCTGCTATATGTATTTATTGATAACACAGATAATCATCCATGAAGATATACAATCATACCATTACCTTAACTTGGTCATACCATTGTTTAAAATTTCAAATGTTAGAACCATAAGTAGTTCTATATTCAAGTTCCACAAAAATCAGTGATAAGTTTCTACAAAGGGGAATTTAATATGTTGAATGCTTTAATAATCTGCTTTCAGATAAATATTCAAAGACATAAAAATTTACATTTTTGTTAAGAGAGGGATAATATACTACAAAATGAACTGAATCTAATGAAAAAATTTCATCAATCTGCTAATAAGTAAGTTAACATGTTCAGGTCTCAATTTCCACAAACATAAAATAATAATAATAAATATGCAACTTCCCTATGTTGCCTTAGACATTTTACTACAAAAGTGATACATTTATTTTAAGTAGGAACCAAAACTATCTCTGTAGGAAATCACTACTTACACAAAAAGTCCGGGAAGATATGATTTAATATACACTTTCAATTTATATACAATTCTGTAGTTTGGCCTTAGTTGTTTAATTTAGAGAAAATGTTTATTATTTCAAAGATATAAAAGCAAAGCATATTTAATGACATTTTTTATACCTTTGTATGTGACAGAATTATTTAAATTATGTATCATTAAAGATTATTCCCAAATAATGAATTATGACAAAACACATGCTTCATCCCTCCTGCCTGCAATTGATAGATGAAAAGTTTCTGCCACTTTCTCCTCCTGGACTAACATGCGTTAGTGTAGGCTAGAAAAGTCCTTGCTCTCTCTGTCAGGTTTCCCTGATTCCATCTTGTTTTCATCCTATTTCCAGAGTTCTTTTAGCAGTGCCACTGAAATATTCACACTTTGTCTGGGCTAGGTCACCATTTGTCTTCTTTAGATTCCCCTAAAGATTCTTAAAAGGCCTTTTTTTCCCCACTTATGTAATAGTGCTGGAGGCATTAACGAATATTTAGTTCTAAGTTACATGGAACCATAAAGAAAATACATAGTTTAAAGACAACAATAGCATTTTGGCATCTTTGTAATTTTCCATGATCTTTATCTACATGGTCTTTGTATGTCATAGTTGTTTCTGTTTACTTTTATACAGATGTTGGCTGGTAAGGAAAAATAAGCAATTACAACAGAAGTCACACACAATAATTAACACTGTAAACCAGAGCTAAGAATTTTTAAAACCCTCTATTTTTGCTTGCAAAAAATATTAATGCTCCTAAGCATTTAATAAATACAAAATAACTTCAAATAAAACACTACGTTATAGAAAGGTTTTCTATTACCCACATGAATATGCTGCTTACGTTACATAGACTAACAGAAAATGAAAACAAGAAAAACAACCAATTTTAACAAGTAAAGAATTACAGATGAAAGGCTTCTGAATGTTACGACTATGATTTATCTTCCACTTTTACAAGCCAAATAACACATTTACACTAAGCTAAGTCTGAAAAAAATTATCAGAGCAATAAAACTAAGGATTTTTAGGACCACTGGGGTAAAAACTAAGAAAAAGTGGACACCAAAACTAAGCAGATGGTTACCTGGCGCTTCACTGCATGCATTTCTGTTAGACTGCTGTAGTATTCTCCTAGCATGTGCTGTAGGAAAGGGCAGACAATAAGGATGAACATAAAATGTGTATGAATAGTAGAGACAGGGTCTATAATATGAATAAGTGAATAAAAAAGAGAAATTAGCAAATTTCTTTAAATTGTCTGAACTGAAATGTTATCACAAGGTATGGTTTATGCTCTATTTAAAAATAATTTCATCAGGGAAAACATCAAAAGATTTGCTCTAAATTCATAGTGATGTGACTGATGATGACTTTCATTAATAAAGTTTTACCATTCCCTCTCGGAAGCATACTTATCACAGTGAGCCTCCCCAACTCCCGCAGGAGACGAGGACTGTGCAGTGCAGGACTAGCAGTCACAGATGCTACACTCTACTCGTCATACAACAAAACTATTACTACGCTATGAAGAATCTTAGAGTAAGAGTTAAAACTAAATTCTTTTTAGAAAGTATGTAAATATAAATAAAGGTATTATTTATGCTACTCATTTTTTAATTTACCAAAATTCAATCATACTTTTTTAAGTAACAGTAATGCAATCTCAAGTGCTATGATCAACTATCAATTACTTAGATGACTGATACTCGCTTCATTAGGCCTGTCAATTTAGTGCCCTTCTCCAACCCCATACAACTGCTTACCCTTTGAAGTTAATCATTATTTGATGAAGACAGTGAATGGAGACGGAAATTATAAAATTTTGGTAATAATGCTGGCATGGGACAATTTAATTTTCTAATTTTCTTAAATCTGTAAACAATAAGTGTAATATAAATTATGATCTTGACCAACAGTTTCACTGACAACTGAAGATTCTGTATATACTGCTTCCCTCACTCCTTAAATTTGAGATGTACTAGTCTTTACAAATCAGGGAAATATCAGTACTTTTTAACATTAAGATGGTGGCAAATATACATGACTCCATTCATTCAACCAACACTTACTGAGTGCCTACCATGTGCCTGTCACGGCAACACTTAAGATACAAATATGAACAGATATTATCTGTTACCAAGGAACTCAAAAAGGCAATACAGACGCTTACATAGGTAAGTGCTATATTATATATAATGTAATACAGGCAACAAGAGCTTTACATAGGCTACAAGAGAAATGACAAGGAGAAAGGGAAACTTATCCCAGCTTGGATTTGGATGCAATTTCAGAATTGCAGAACTAAGATTTTATTTAAGAGCCCAGTAGAGAAAAATGCTTACAAAAAAACAAAAAGGACCTGAGATGGAACAAACACTGCTGAGGCGAGAAACAACACAAAAGCTATGTGAAAGCCTGAGATCAGTGAAACTGAAAATGTAAACTTCAAGGCCGAAGGTGGTGAGGAATGAGTCTGGCCAGATATGTCACGGTAAACCATTTGTCCTGTAGGCATGGAGAAGCCACAGCGGTTTAAGCAAAGCAACGACAGGGCATTATATCAAATTCTTATTCAGAGAAAATCTTCAGAATTTCAAATCAGGAGTTCCAAATTAATGTCAGCAGTACTTTTTGCTCAGAATTTTATCAAAACAAGTCAACCTTTTGTATCATATCACAACAATATTGCCAGTTTACATTTCTCGGTATCAAGGAATGCACTGTAATCTCCACTATAAAACCCTGCACATGACAGAAAACTGTGATAGACCAATTTTTACATTGTTTTACTATAGCTTTTCAAATCTAAGATGTAGAAGTCCTTAAATTAAAGCAAACCGAAAAAGAACATACCTGAAGATATTTCTGTAGACCTACTATATTTTATTATTTTTTCCAGCTGCTCATGATTCTTTCTGCTGAATACTTTTGCTTGAACAGGCTCTTCAGTCTGGGCTGAATGTCTGTTCCTACTTTTGCAAGGTTCACATGTGCTAGACATACTGGCACTTTCATATCCTTAAGTAAAAAAAGTGACAACTATTACCAGTTGCAACTAACTCAAACTGAAAGGGATATTGATTTTCCACAGAGAATGCTAACTCAATTTAGAATGCTATGAAGGCCTGATATAAATGGAATACAAAACAGTAAATTTCTGGAGATACCTTTGCAATAACCCTTGGATGCATGGGATGACAGTAATAAATTCTAACATTTTATTGCCCTTTGATATCAACTCAAAGTATATGGCAGACCTTATATTCTCTACATGATCCAAATACTCTACTAAACTCCAGGTTAACAATTTTTTCAGTATCAAGAAATAGAAGGAATCAAATCCAATCTATATAAAATGTCTGTAAGAGAGAAAAGTACTAGACATTAAATAGTCAAAACCGTCTGACTTTTTATTATACTTTTTGTTGAATAAGACTTAAGTTTTTTAAAAGGTTTTAACTACCCAAAAGTTATATAGATATTCTACTACATTTTCCTTCTCAATTTTATTTTAATATTTATTTCGGTATTATGGCACAAGGTAGGAATTCAACTTTATTTTGTTCCACATGGGTAGCTGGCTATATATACCTACCCTTTTCCCATTGAATCAAGATGCAACCTTGGTCAATATATTAAATCTCCCTACTAACTAGGTTTTATTCCTTGGCATTCTATCTATTGCAATGCCATTTTCATTCTTTTAGCCACAGAAGCTTTACAGGGTGTTTAAACACCTGGCAAGGTTAGTCCTACCGAGCTTCTCTTCTCTGCTTGGCTTTTGTTGGACGTTTGTTCTTACATATAAACTTTTGAGATTTTTTTCTAATTTCAAAAAGGATCCATAGGGATCAAGATGGAATCACAATAGAAGTATTACTAATTTGAGGAGAATTGGCATTTAATCATTTTAAGCATTTTAAGAACATGGTTATGTTTTTACATTTGTTCGATCTTGTTTCATGTTCTTCAAAAATACTTCATAGTTTTTTATAGATCTGCTAATTTCCTTACTAAATTTAATCCTAAGGATCCTTTCCCCCAATAGTTTCAGACACTGTTATGGTAAGAACATTCTCCCCTCCCCCCCTTCCACTTCTGCTGTGTGTTACTGTGATAGAGAGAAGTATGTGCACTTATAACCAGCTACTTGACTGATTCATATTAACTTTAGTAGCTATTTTCCAGTGTCTCTTAGGCTTTCTCAGAAAAAATTACAAAATTTGTTTCCCTTCTTGCCCCACTATTTATTATAATTACTCAATTTCTTGTCATAATGCTTTCCAAATAATTATGGTGGTAGAGGAGGAATCCTTGCTTAATTCCTAATTTTGAGAGCGAGATCTGTGGACTATTGTCTTTTACAATGATGTTTGTGACTGCATTCTGCAGACTTCATTATGCTGAAATAACTGCCTCCTTAGGTGCATTTTACTTAGAATTTTCATTAGAAATGACTTCAAATTTAATTGAATCTAGTGCTACGATTATGACTTTAATTTGTTCATATAAAAATTATGTTGACAGATTTCCTGATAATGAATCATACTGCATTTCTGTAATAAACCCTGTTGACAAGTTTGCTATTCTATTGATACACCGGCAAATTAAAATTCCTAACATCTTAATTTTACTTTTGAATTTATATGAATAACTGAGGTTGACCTCTTGTATTCAGTTACTGAACTGCTCTCTCCTTTCCACTTTCCCCTACACATAGAGGTCTCTGTTCTGATTCACACATTGTTTCTGTAGTTTTCCTCAGATAGCATACAGCAGTATCTTCTTGTCATCTTTACACATGAAGGGTCTCTGGTTTGAGTACAGTATTCTTGAGTTGTGGTCCCTTTTTTGTCCATTTATGGATCTTATTTCACTTCTACTTTTTGGTTGTGAGAAAGACTGATGTCAACTGGGTTATTTTTCACTGTATGTCACTTATTCCTACAGTCAGGAAGCTTGGAATTCTGGAATGTCATGTGAACACACACGGGGTAGCACACCATCCCCCGGGCTTCCTGGCTGGACAGCAGTTAGGTATTTTGATCTTTCTTCTTTACAGTATTTTAAAAACTCTTTTTAAAGTGTTGAGTTTTTCTTCCTTAGAGATTCCCCTTTATTATTTAATCACTGCCTCTACATATTGTTTTTCCTCCTTTAGGACTCCCTGTAGATTAGATCTCTAAGATTTGTCCTTAAGCCTCAAATCATTTTCCTCTTGATTTCAACTCTTAGTACTTTTTGCTCTGTGTAATTACATAATTCTTCCCCTCAGATTTCCAGAGGAGTAATTTGGGACTTAATAGCATTCATCCTCTTTTTCACTAAACTAAATGCAAACATTTTTTCTAGCCCTAAAAAATTTAATTCGATCTGCATGTTATTTTGTTCAAGTGTGTATTTCCTTCCATAACTCTGTTCTTAACTAGATTTTACCTGCTCTAGTAGTCTACTTCTGTGTGTTCTCTCTAGCTGCTGGTACTTTTTATACGTATCGTTACGTTCTCTAGTCACAATTCTGACCTACCCTTAAGGTTGGAGCCCACTGCCTGACAGTGCTTGGAAGTCTCACTCCTATCGTGAGATAATGTTCTGGCCATCAAGTTGTCCAGTCTCCCATCAAGACAATAAGGAAGCCTCTTCTACTCCTCAGCCTCCTCAGCTACAATGGCAACACCTCCCAAGTTCAGGGCAGGGAGACTGTCATCTATTTGTCCAATGACACCCTTTTCCATTAGTACCCGCAAGTGGCGAAAGACTGCTACTCTAGGGAGGGAGGGAGGTGCCAAGAACAGGAGGAGTTGCATGATCTCCTCCAACCAAGTTTTCTGCAAGAACCGTAGAGCTCTGAGCTCTGCCCCAGGCGGTCTCAGCGCTCCAGCATGGCCTGGAAGGCCTTGCAGCTTACATTCTCATGACCACAGCCCAGCAGCTGCTCTGCTAGCAGGAGCCCAACATACTATCCATTTATTCCCTGGGATAGCCTCGCTGTGTTCAACCTTCCCTACTGCTGAGGCCGTCATTCAAGTTAGGACTCATCACCTCACATTTAGGTTCCTGGTTTCTTCACTGGTCGGTCTCTCAAGACTAAAGTCTGGCCATTCTCATCCCTTCTGCACCAAACTTACTGGAAAAAGAGGCCTCTTGGTTATTTTTGAACTTCAAAAAAAACAGGTCCAGCAATAAAGGATACAACTGCCAAAAGTAATCAGCAAAATGTTATAACTGGTAGTACTACTGCTCATTTAATAGCAAACAAAGCTCTGAAGAAAATTCAATGTTATTCTAACAAAAACATTTATATAAATGAAATTAAGCTTTTGAATGTTGCTACTGAATCACATGAAAAGTGAATGAAATCTAATCAAAATTAAAATATACATTGTATGGCTTACACAAAATTCTTTTTGCAGAGACCCAGTAGGCACCGCGAGAAGATGCACTTACCCTCCAAACAGCTGAACTGTCAAAAGAAACATGCTATAATTATTAAGATGCTAAAATGAGAGAAAAAACTATGGTCTTATGATCACCCAGTGGAAAACATCAAGGGTTAGGTTTCCAAAGGTGAGGCTCCAGTGTGTGATTTTGATTCTCTTGGGCACTTTAACAGTAACCCTCCAGGGAGACTGGGAGAAGGAAGGTTAGTAATACTTCACAGCAGTACTGGCTCAGCTGCTCAGGTAACAATGCCACCACTGCACGATGCTCATCATTGGAAGGCTGTTATCTCCTGTCCCATTTCACCACCCTGCCCCTTACCCCACTCTGTATTTTTGCTCAGTGGCTTGGCTGACACAGCCAGAAGGAACAGTCCTCCTGGTTGTGTCTCCACGACAGGGCAACAGCCCAGCACGGCCCCCACAGGCCTCCCACGTCCCGTGCAGGCCACCTAGGTTAAGTGCTGGACTGCAACTAAGTCTTACTGGAAGGCCTCATGATCCTTCTGGAACGTGGAACACAAGAAAGCAGCCGCTCACAGGCCTTTACAGCTGCATGTGGCCATTTTCCCCTTGCCCCCCCCACATCCCTGGCAGGGGTCACAAGAGAGTATATGTCTTGGGATCTGATGAAGAGCGAGCCCTTTATCTTCAGCCCGAGGTACCTCTCCAGACCATAAAGTGCCAAAGGCTGCAGCACAGCCCTGCTCCTCAACAGCAGGTGTCCCCCCATCACACTGCAATTGTTCTTTGACTGCTTTGGCCTCAGTGTCGCCCTGGGGTGTATGAACAAGAGATGCACAGAGCTGGTACCTTTCTCTGCCTACAGAAGTAATAAACTCTTGGAATCTAAAAAGGGTTCTTTCTGTACTGGCCACATCGACCCTGTCTTGCCTAATGCTGAGCATCCATCTCTTCTCAATCCTCATCAGTAAACAGGAAGGAGAGGAGGCAAGAAATAAAGATCCAGAAATAATTAAAACCCAGAGATGAGTACATGAAGAGTTCTACCCTATCTTCCAGGAAAAGAATGAGGAAGATCTAGACTATATGACCCCACTCCTCTGATAATATCAAAAGAGGGCTCAGGCCCAGTAGAGTGTAGCCAAATTATGGGTCGCATAACTGAAACACCCCGCAAGGCAAGAAATCATGCTCAATTCGTTAAGGCATAAAATCCGAAGTTTTAAAAGATGATTATCACTATCATAATCTGTCACATCTTACTTCAAATGCAGTAATGTGTATGTGTACATACAAAGACCTCTAAAGATTAAGGTACATCACTGTAATGGAGAACAAAACTAAATGGAGATTTTCTCAAAGACTGCCGAAGTGTGCAAAAAAAACAGGTCAGTCTGTGAATCTGGGACAGTACAGCTGCCTCGCTCTCTCAAGACAAGCTGAGTCCCACTATGCAGGTCTGCTCGCCATGTACTATTTCCATCTTCTCCTCCTGCTCTGTCCTAACTATATTTTTCTTATTGTTACTACAATTTGGAATGCTTTCCAATCTCCTCTTCATCCACTTACATTACCACTTCCTGTAAGACAGAGTAAACATTCTTTTGTCTAAGA